GCTACTGTCCATAGGGTCACAAAGAGTCAGACACGACTGAGGTGACTTAGCATGCAGCAAGCATGCCCAATGCCTGAACTGTGAACATGGCCAATCTGCGCTCAGAGTCTGCACTTTTACCTGTTGAGCTGGCCTGGCGCCCAGGATGGGCAGGGCTGGGCACTTGGAGTCACCATCCTGGGCGTCTCCTGGGGCTTATTGGAGACCCTGAAGCTCCCCAAGGCTTGGCAGTTGACCTCAGCTGGGGCAGGCTACTCTGGGAGGGATCAAGACCCCCTTCCCTCCTCTTATTGGCTACTCTGACCACCCAGACCCAGACAACTGACTCCAGTTCTCTGCCCCAAGCCAAGGTCTTGGGACTGTCCAGCCCAGCCCCCTTCCATTGGCTCTGTGATGGATCCCTGTTGTCCAGGCCCCCTGGGAATCTTGTCCCCAAAGCTCTGAATCCAGGGCCTCTGCCTGCCAGACGCACCCCCACCTTCCCTTGCCAAGCTCACAGCAAGGGCACCCTCAGAGATACATTGAGATTCTCAAGTGCACCCTCAAATCTCTACCCACCCCAGGCCCCAAACCCTCATCAGCTGCCCCACCACACACCCATACTCTTGGCCACACTTCCCAATCTGTCACTCACAGTCACACCTGAGTGTGCCCTGAAACAGGCACCTGTCACCCACACTCATACACAGATACCCCAACAGAAATACAACCGTGCAATCGGCGCACACATACTCTGACAAACACACACGCACCCATGCCAGCCCAAATGCAGTCACCACAACACACACACTCACTCACCCTGACACACACAATTTCATTAATATCATGTCAACATTTGTACAAGAACACACAGCTAGTCTCTTCCCCTGTTGATAAAACCCAGGGCAATAGCACCATCAACACACACTCAGACTCACAAACACATCCATACCTATTCACACCCACTGTCAACAGCTACACACTCAGGCCTTCCTCGGCACACATATTCTCAGTCACCTTCAGGCCTCCACACAGCCAGAACACACACAACATGTGTAGACACACAAATGCTCAGACACACACAAATCCCTTTCACATACACACAGCATCCCTAAACCACCCCTCCTACCACACCCCGCATGGCGATCCCCTCACCCCAACACACCTCCTCAGACTCATCTTTGCACACACAGACACAAGCAGCCCACACAAATGCCCCTCCCTTTCTTACACGCTTTCCCACTCTCTCACTCGCTTTGCTTCCACGGGCCTTGCTGGAAGTGGGTCCAGGCGGCCCCCTCTCTCCCAGCCCAGGGACCCCTCCTGGGAAGACAATAGTCCCCTTACTGTCTCTCAGCCAGAGCACCACCCCCTGTCTCAGCCCCAGTCTCCCGAGTCCTAAGGTTTCCTGAGATTCCCGCCCTCCGCCCCAGAACCTCACCAGCTCAGAGAGGGTGCTGGGCAACCCGGCGCAGCCCAGCGGAGGTACGTCACCTGCTTGCACTTCTCCTCGGCAGCTTTCTTATCCGACTCCGCCTGCTCGGCCCGGTCGATGGCGTTCTCCTTGTCCAGCTTCAGCATCTGCATCTTCTTCTTGATGGCCTCCATGGCTGGGTGGTGGGGGGCCGTGGGCGCAGAGGGGGCTGCGGCGGCTGTGGCGTCAAGTGAGCAGCCAGGGCGGTGGAGAGGCCCTTATAGGCTCCCGGGGTGCGCCGCCCTGCTGCGGGGCGAGTCTTGGAGGAGGCCCAAACGCAGGCCGCCTGGGCCAGCCGCCACTTGCTTGCTTGCTCAGGAGGACTTGGCCAGCTCACCGGCCTCCCCGCAGCCCTAGCCTTATTTGGGCCTAGGATTTTCTCAAAGGGAAAAAAAAAAAAGCCAGACCCATTTCCATTTTTAACCTGGTGATACTGGTCCCGCCTGGGCAAGCGGGCACAGCGCTGACCTAGGAGGGTGAGGCTGACTTGCGGACCGGCCTCAGTTTCCCCATCTGTGGTTGGGTGGGCTGAAGAGGGCTGGTGGGTGGGTGAGAGTAGGAGTGAGGTGGGCAGAGAAGGCGCCTGTTCTCCCTTCTTCCCCCTCCTTCTGGGTCCCTCCAGGTACTGGGGGTCAGGGCCGCACCCCGTCTTCTGCCACCCCTGGGGGCCTCCCTGGATAACTCCCACCTCTGTCTGACCAGTCTGTCTCCTTGTCTTTATCTTCTGTCTTCCTTTGGGTGACTGTCTCTGTGTCTCTCCCTGTCTCTCTGTCTCTTTATATGTTTCTCCATTTTCCTCTTCCTGTCTCCCCATCTCTTTTGGTCTTTCCCCCTTCGGACTTTCCCTGTATCTCTTTGTCTCTCTCCCCTGTTCTCTGCGTCTCTTCCTCTATGTCTCTGTCTTTGTCATCTCATGTGGATCTGGCCCACCAGGGCGAGATGGACCCAGGCTGTCTTTCTCTAGGAATCTCTGGGAGGCCAAGGCAGGCCCAGACTAGACTCTGATCGCCTCCCTTAGGTCTCACTCTCTCCCTCCCCTGCTCGGAATCTGGCCACGGCTCCCCAGCACTGGTAGGAATAGGAAGTGGCTTAGCTCCTCAGCTTCTCACTCAAGACTGCCCACTCCCACCCCTCGATCTCCTCCCACTCAATTCAGCTCCTCCACTGCTTCCCAGGCAGGGCATCCCTGTTATTGTTATTATTTGATCATCTGTTTTGGACTGTGAGCAGCTTTGGAGCAGTCCTGTGCCTGAGTCTTGTCTGTGGCCCTCTGAATGCACCCCTGGAAGATCAGAAAGTCCTTATTAATTCACATGAACAATTTCCTCTGTACTGTCATGCACTCACTCATACATTCACACACAGACACATCTCTAACTGGGAAACTTCTATTCCTCCTGCAAAGCCCAGATCAGATGGCCCCCTCCTTCAGGAAGCCCTCCTGTACTCTAGACAGAGCTCTGGACTCCCAGCCCAGCATCAAGACTTCTCTATGGAATGGAGTGGAGGTAGTGAGGCTTCTGTGCTTCTTGCCCAAGGATGCAGAGGGAGTGAAATAAAGGCATTGGGCAGTAGGCAGCACCACTGGGGAGTGTGGGGGTCAGGCTAAGATCTAGAGTCCCAGCATTTCTCTGCCACCTCCTGATTCCTTCACTGCCCCTTAAGCCAGCTTCCTTTTCTTTGTCACGGTGAGATCATGGTGAGACTACCTCCCCTGCATCCTCCCCCCCACCCCCATTGGCACGAAGGCCAAAATGGTAGCACACAAAATATTCTAGAACCTTTCTCATGCTCCAAAGACACGTTTCTCCCCATGTTCAGGAGAACAACTCTCTTCTCCATCCGCCCCCCTTATCTCACCCAGCCCCATGTCCTCGCTGTGCAGACTGCTTCCTCTTTTTTTTTTAAATTTATTTTTATTAGTTGGAGGCTAATTACAATATTGTAGTGGTTTTTGCCATACATTGACATGAATCAGCCATGGATTTACATGTGTTCCCCATCCCGATCCCCCCTCAGACTGCTTCCTCTTATGATAAAAGCATACCATCAAAATGGCATCTTGAAGAATTCAGTGATGATTAAAGGACACTGGATAAATCATGGAATACTGTTCAGTAATTGTACACCACGTGCGGGATACCATGCTCAGCATTGGACTCACAGTGTCTCACTGAAACCTCCCTCAACCCTAAGAGTTAGGGAACTGATTTTTTTTTTTTAAGAATTGTAGAATTTTTTTTTTCCGACTTTTTATGTTGGAGCTGATTAACAGTGTTGTGTTAGTTTCAGCTGCACCACCAAGTGATTCAGTTATACATGTATCGGTTCTTTATCAGATTCTTTCCCCTGGACTTCCCTGATGGTCCAGTGGTTAAGAATCCACATGCCAGTGCAGGAGATGCAGGTTCAGTCCTTGGCCTGGGAAGACCCCACATGCTGTGGGCCAGCTAAGCCCATAAGCTGCAGCTACTGAGCCCACCTGCCTGGAGCCCGTGTGTGCAAGGGGAGAAGCCACCACGCCGAGCCTGTGCCCTGCCACTAGAGAGTAGCCCCTGCCCGCCGCAGCAAGAGAAAGGCCTCAGCAACACACACCCGTCACCGCCGTAAATAAATAATTAACTAAATTTAAAAAATCCTCTCCCCACTTAGGTTGTTACATAATATTGAGCAGAGTTCCCCTTGCCACACAGCCGGTCCCTGCTGGCTCTCCATTTCAAATACAGCAGCGTCTACAGGTCAGCCTCCCTGAACCCTAAGAAGTAGAGGACTGTTTTTATTCCCATTTTATAGAAAAGGAACCTGAGGCCCAGAGTGGCCCATGCAGGGTCCCCGAGCTTGTGAGTCACTGGACCCCGCTGACTCTGAAGTCCTAAGACCCTACCCTCCCACCATATCTTCAAACCCCCCAACTCCCATCCTCTGACTGTCTCAGGGCAGGTCATCAGAGGTCAGTTCTCTGTACCCTTGATGTCCCCCAGGGAGACCCTGGGACCCAGCCTCATCGCAGGTGGTGGGGCTCAGTCCTGAGACCACTGACTCCAAAAAGGGATCCTTCCCGCATGAGATGCTGGCTCGCTCCATGGCCTTGTAGGGTAGACCCTTGTCCCTGGAACAGCCACTTGTTTAGGGAGCTCCCGCAGGGGGAATCCGATGCCAAGGAGGGGACAGGCAGCCAGGAATGGTGTTAGAGCCCAGCCCTGCCCCCTGCCCTGCAGCCTTAGGACTGGACTTACGTGCTGTCTGTGTATCTGCCTTAGGGACACCCCAGAAATCCTGGGCAGGGCTGGAAGGGTCATCTGGAGTTCCTGGCCCCTGGGGGCCGTGGTCCAGCTCTCCAGGCTGTGTGGCCTGGGGCATGAGGTGGATGAAACCTGACATTTATAGCTTAGAAGGAGTGAACTCCCTTCTTGAATGTCACTCTCCAGCTGGGGGTCCTGAGGACCGGGGTGGGGGCAGCGCTCCATGCTGCCACCTGGTGACCTCACAATCCTGAGACTCAGGGTCACTTATTGAGCACCTACTACATGCAGGCACTGTGCAGGCTTTTGAGACATGGACATGACTCAGCCAATATCTGCAAACCATTGCCGAATTTGTTAGGTAGGATAGGGCAAACTGCTGTTTTAGGTTGGGATTCCCCAGAAGCAGATCCTGAGGCAAAAATTCAAGAGCAATTACTTTATTTGGGAGATTACGCAAAAAGACACAGTTAAGGGGTGGGAAAGTGGACGGAAAGGAAGGAGGCTGGTAAAGTCTCCTTTATGGGGAAGCCAGTTACCACTCTTGAGCCTGGGCCACAGTGCCATAAGGGACCTCGAGAAGGCAGCAGAGAGCATGCCCTTTGGAGTTTGAGGACAAGACAGGGGAAGGAGCTGGGGCATTTATCCACCAGTTCCCATCCTTGTCAGTTGAAGGCAGCCCCTGGGGGTGCTGATATGCCAGCCTTCTATCTGGCCTTTGTGTGGGCCACCGCCAGCTTCAGCGGCTGCAGAAAGACCCTGAGTTGCTTCTCTGCCCCTGCATAAGTGCTGGAAGAAGGAAGCCCTTGGTGTAGGAACCTGATTAGGTTTTTTTCTTCTTTTTTCTTTAAAATTGGAGGATAATTGCTTTACAATGTTTTGTTAGTTCCTGCTGTACAGTGAAGTGACTCTGCTATATGTATACATATATCCCCTTTCTCTTGAACCTGGCCCTCTGCCCCCCATCTCACCAATCTAGGTCATCACAGAGCACCGGGCTGAGCTCCCTATGCTTTATAGCAGGTTCCCACTAACTATTTTACACACGGGAGTGTATGTATGTCAGTTCTAATCTCCCAATTCATCCCGCTCTGTCCTCCTACTCTTTCCACCTGTCTGTTCTCTATGTCTGTGTCTCTGTTCCTGCCCTGGAAATAGACTCACCTGTGCCATTTTTTCCAGAGTCCACATATATCTGTTACAATGCAATATTTATTTTTTTTCTTTCTGACTTACTTCAGTCTGTTTGACAGACACTAGGTCCATCTACATCTTCTACAAATGACCCGATTTCATTCCTTTTCATAGATGAGTGATATTCCATTGTATATATATGTACCATATCTTCTTTATCCATTCATCTGTCTTTGGACTTTTAGGTTGTTTCCATGTCCTGGCTACTGTAAGTAGTGCTATGATGAACATTGAGATACACGTGTCTTTTTGAAACCTTGATTAGTTTTGGGTGGAAGTCAGGGAAGGCTTTTCTGAGGAGGTGGCGATTGAGGTGAGGTCTGAAGGAGGACCGTAAAGAGGTTGCCCTACTCCTTCCACGATCTCTGCTGGAATTTGAGACCCACAGAGAGACTGAGGGGCTAGAGTGAATTTATGGAATACTGAAGGAAAAGAGGAAGGATGTTCTTAGGTTGCATCCTATGGAGTCTTGCTTGTTAAATAATAACATGACGATGGTGATGATTGAAATGACACTGGCTCAAGAGGACCCAGAGCGTGTGCTGAGTGGGTCGTGTGCAGCATGTGGGGGTTGGGGGGTGGGGTGGAGATGGAGCACTCATTCGCCCTTCACTGAGAACCTTGTGCTCTGTGTGCTTGGAGTCCCCTCAGCAGAGAAGCTGCTTAGCTTTCACATCGCAAAGTCAGGATCTGAATGTGAGTCTGTCTGATTTCCCTGGACTCTAAAACCACCACTGCTTCGGCCCTGCTCCCTTGTTCATTAAGAATTGTTGGGATTCCCCAGAAGCAGATCCTGAGGCAAAAATTCAAGAGCAATTACTTTATTTGGGAGATTACGCAAAAAGACACAGTTAAGGGGTGGGAAAGTGGACGGAAAGGAAGGAGGCTGGTAAAGTCTCCTTTATGGGGAAGCCAGTTACCACTCTTGAGCCTGGGCCACAGTGCCATAAGGGACCTCGAGAAGGCAGCAGAGAGCATGCCCTTTGGAGTTTGAGGACAAGACAGGGGAAGGAGCTGGGGCATTTATCCACCAGTTCCCATCCTTGTCAGTTGAAGGCAGCCCCTGGGGGTGCTGATATGCCAGCCTTCTATCTGGCCTTTGTGTGGGCCACCGCCAGCTTCAGCGGCTGCAGAAAGACCCTGAGTTGCTTCTCTGCCCCTGCATAAGTGCTGGAAGAAGGAAGCCCTTGGTGTAGGAACCTGATTAGGTTTTTTTCTTCTTTTTTCTTTAAAATTGGAGGATAATTGCTTTACAATGTTTTGTTAGTTCCTGCTGTACAGTGAAGTGACTCTGCTATATGTATACATATATCCCCTTTCTCTTGAACCTGGCCCTCTGCCCCCCATCTCACCAATCTAGGTCATCACAGAGCACCGGGCTGAGCTCCCTATGCTTTATAGCAGGTTCCCACTAACTATTTTACACACGGGAGTGTATGTATGTCAGTTCTAATCTCCCAATTCATCCCGCTCTGTCCTCCTACTCTTTCCACCTGTCTGTTCTCTATGTCTGTGTCTCTGTTCCTGCCCTGGAAATAGACTCACCTGTGCCATTTTTTCCAGAGTCCACATATATCTGTTACAATGCAATATTTATTTTTTTTCTTTCTGACTTACTTCAGTCTGTTTGACAGACACTAGGTCCATCTACATCTTCTACAAATGACCCGATTTCATTCCTTTTCATAGATGAGTGATATTCCATTGTATATATATGTACCATATCTTCTTTATCCATTCATCTGTCTTTGGACTTTTAGGTTGTTTCCATGTCCTGGCTACTGTAAGTAGTGCTATGATGAACATTGAGATACACGTGTCTTTTTGAAACCTTGATTAGTTTTGGGTGGAAGTCAGGGAAGGCTTTTTTGAGGAGGTGGCGATTGAGGTGAGGTCTGAAGGAGGACCGTAAAGAGGTTGCCCTACTCCTTCCACGATCTCTGCTGGAATTTGAGACCCACAGAGAGACTGAGGGGCTAGAGTGAATTTATGGAATACTGAAGGAAAAGAGGAAGGATGTTCTTAGGTTGCATCCTATGGAGTCTTGCTTGTTAAATAATAACATGACGATGGTGATGATTGAAATGACACTGGCTCAAGAGGACCCAGAGCGTGTGCTGAGTGGGTCGTGTGCAGCATGTGGGGGTTGGGGGGTGGGGTGGAGATGGAGCACTCATTCGCCCTTCACTGAGAACCTTGTGCTCTGTGTGCTTGGAGTCCCCTCAGCAGAGAAGCTGCTTAGCTTTCACATCGCAAAGTCAGGATCTGAATGTGAGTCTGTCTGATTTCCCTGGACTCTAAAACCACCACTGCTTCGGCCCTGCTCCCTTGTTCATTAAGAATCATTGGGGGAGGAGCCAGTGTGGGGAGGAGGGAGCAAAGGGCTCTGTGTCCTTCCCAAATTCCTGGAGACTGACTCTAAGGGAACTGTGTGGGTTACAGAGCTTGCCCACAAATGCTGAAAAACAGGCATGACCACAAGCTTTAAGGCATCGTCATAATAATGAGTCATAATTACAGTGAACACTGACATGGCCCCGATCTGCCCGCGGTAAGTGCCTCGCATATACAAGCTCACACATTAATTTTCACAATAAACCTATAAGATAGGGGCTGTTATTAGTCCCATTTTTACAGCAGGAGAAACTGGAGCACAGAGAGATCAAGAAAGTTGCTCAAGGTCACGCAGCTGAAAAGCAGCAGAATCAAGATTTGCGCTTAGGCTTGTCTGACTGCAGTTTCCATGCTGAACACCTACACTGAAGAGCCACCTCATACGCTTGCTGTCCAGCCCAAATTACCTTCACAGATGGCAACCACCGCCCATTGGGTATCAGAGCTACCGCTATCGGGAGAGGATCCTCTGGAGTCCCAGGTATTTCTATACAGCTCAGGGATATATATATACCCAAGGATGCGGATGGCATTCCTTCTGGCTATCTTTTCAAGAATGTTTGTAGAGCAAATAGCCCTGGAAGATAGGATTTCTTGCTCTGGAGCAGAGAGCAGGTTTGTTTGCTGTCCATGTAACAAAGTTAATGCTTCCTTCTGACATAAAGGTAGGACAGGTTCGTTCAGGTTTGTTCATAGTCCACAGAAAAGACAGAAGTTTCTAAACTCAGACTTACTCAGCTGTGGTGCAAACCCAGTGTGCCCCTGGCCTGTCCCTGTTGGGGATTTGGAGGAAAAAGCAAAAACATGAAGTTCATGCCGCCTGCTGTGCTGTGAGAAATAAAGTCCTTGGTCTCTGACCCTGGAGTCTTGTGTCTTCTGTCAACATCCATGACACTGGCAGGTTAAAAAAAAACCCTTAAGCTCTTTGCAGAAAAAAAAAAAGGAAAATAAAGATTAAATAATCAATAAAGTTAAAGGAAATATATTCATAATATTTACAATGTAATTATAAATAAAATGCAATAAGCGAACAATTTAAAAAGACACATATAAACAAGATTAGGAAGATACATATATTTTTATATATGCATATATGTATTGAGGTATACAGTTATATGGGGCTTCCCTGGCGGCTCAGCAGTGAAAGAATCCACCTGCAATGCAGGAGACATAGGAGATGTGGGTTCGACCCCTGGGTCTGGAAGATCAAACTCTTGCAACCTCGTGGACTGCAGGTTCCTCTGTCCATGGGCTTTCCCTGTGGAAGAATACTTCAGTGGGTTGCTATTTCCTCCTCCAGGGGATCTTCCTGACCCAGAGATTGAACTTGAGTCTCCTTCATTGGCAGATGGATTCTTCACCACTGAGTCACCAGCAGAAGGAAATGGCAACCCACTCCAGTACTCTTGCCTGGAAAATCCCGTGGACGAAGTAGCCTGGTAGGCTACAGTCCATGGAGTCGCAAAGAGTTGGACACGACTGAGCGACTTCGCTTTCACCAGGGACGCCCATATGGTGCTTTATAAATGACCAAGTCTCAAAAACTAAAACAAATTTTTTAGGTAGGGATCCTGGAGTGGGTTGCCATTTCCCACTCCAGGCGATCTTCCCTACCCAGGGATCAAACTCAAGTCACTTACATCTCCTGGCAGGTGGGTTCTTTACTACTGCGCCACACTGGAAGCCCCAGAGGTTCCTAGCTAGTCAAATTCACACAGACGGAAGACAGTAGCATGGTGGGTGCCAGCGGCTAAGGGGTGGAAATGAGGAGGAAGTTTTTGATGGAGGCAGTCCCAGTGTTGCAAGATGAAAAGAGTTCTGGAGGTGGCTGGTGGTGATGGCTGCACAGTAACATGAAGGAACTTAATGCTCCTTAACGGTACGCTTATAAAAGATGAAGATGGTAAATCTTACGTTTTGTGTATTTTACCACAATTTAAAAAATTAACAACAACAAAGCAACTAATAGCATCAGTTGAGTATTTATTACGCACCAGGCACCAAGTGTTTTCCATGCGCTGTTTCAGAGTTTACAAACTTCAGTCATGCCCACATCACCTCTATCCTTTTATCCATGTCTTACTCTGGGTTTCTCCCAAAGGAGACCCAGGGTAAGAATGTGTGGGAGGTGGTTCTGTTGCAGTGAAAAGGAAAAAAAGAGGAATGAGTTTTTCTCTTTCCCTTTCCTGAGAACAAAGAAGATTAAGAGAACAGTGAGCAGGCCTGAACATTCCTAGTTTTTATTTTTTTGCTTTAACTGCTCCTAACTCTTCATATCTGTAACCAAGTTTGCTTTTCTGCCCCCCAACTCTACAGGAGCTACAATTTACGTTTTTTCCCTTTGACTCTGTGCTAAGTACATCCCCTCTCTGGTGTTTACCCTTGCAACACACTTCCTCTTGTAATTACACATCAGAAAGAAGGTGCAGAGACCCTGAACTGCCGGACTGGGTTACTGATGCCAGTTTATGACTGTCTTTGCAACAATGCAAGAGGAAGAAATCAAGGTCCTATCACCTTTTTTCCTCTTCACCGACTCCTACGGCAAGCCCTTACCTAATATAAGCCCCTAGAGGCCTCAGGGATGGGGGAGGGCACAGTTCTTGAGGCATGAGCCTACTGCATTCCCCTCTCTGCTGGCTGAGGATTAAAGCCACCTTTCTAATTCCTCCAAACTCTTGTCTCCATGTTGTTTTATTTGGCTTCAGTGGGCAGAGAAGGCCAAGATTTTGGCCAGCAACAGTTTCTGGAAGCCTGGTGAGGGGATGGGGAAAGAAGACAGGGAGAGGAGGCTTATTCATGAGTGGCTGCTCTGTGGGCAGCCAGGGGTTGGTTCCACTTAGGATCTTCTGAACCACTTCTGACATCTGCTCTAAAGACATCTGAGAGTCATCCAGCTGAAGGGTCAGGAGGCTGGGAGTATTTGCCAACTCTTTTTTTTTTTAAAGTTATTTAATTTTTAAAATTTAGTTTTGGCTGTGCTGGGTCTTGATTGCTGTGCCTGGGGCGTCCTCTAGTTTTGACTGGAGAAACTAGTGGGGGCGGCTCTTCCTCACAGTGCACGGGCTTCTCATTGCAGTGGCTTCTCTTGTTGCAGAGCCCAGGCTCTAGGACATGAGGCTTCAGTAGTTGTGGCTCCGGGGTTCCAGAGCACAGGCTCAGTAGTTGTGGCGTAAAGGCTTAGTTGCTCTGCGGCATGTGGGATCTTCCTGGACCAGGGATTCAACTAGGGTCTCCTGCATTACCAGGTGGATTCTTTACCCCTGGGCCACCAGGGAGGCCCCGCCCACCAACGCTTGACCCTCATTGATTGATGGCTGCTATCTGGACATTAACACCCTAGTGTTTCTGGTCAGCCCTACAGGAGGACAAGAATACTCTGTATCAGAAGTTGTTGGCATGTGATAGGAAGTGTCTGAAGGTGAACTATGAGGGGTTGAAGAGAAGGGTCATCAGCAGTGGCTGCTAAGGCCATGCCTGTGTACCAAAGGTACTATCATTTCCTTGATATTTAAATGATTTTTAAAAATTTTATTTATTAATTTATTGGCTGCACTGGGTCTTCACTCCTGTGTGTAGGCTTTCTCTCCCTGACAAAAGGGCAGCTACTCTGCTGTGGTGCATGGGCTTCTCTGGAGTAGGAAACAGCCTCCCGCTCCAGTATTCTTGCCTGGAAAATTTCGTGGGCAGAGGAGGACGGTGGGTTACAGTCCAGAGGGTCATAAAGAGTTGGGCGTGATTGAATGACTGGGCTCGTGAGCTTCTCATCGCGGTGGCTTCTCTTGTTGTGGGGCACCGGCCTTAGGGCACAGGCTCGGTAGTTGTGGCACGTGGGCTTAGCGGCTCTGCAGCGTGTGGGATCTTCCTGGACCAGAGATTCAACTTGTATACCCTGCATTGACAGGCAGATTCTCAACCACTAGACCACCAGGCAAGTCCTCTTTGATATATTTTTTTTCTTTATGCATGCATGCATGCTAAGTCACTTCATTGTCAATGCAGCACATCTTCAAAAGAGATCTTGGGTTCACGTGTGACTTTACAAGCAAGTGAATATGCAGACAGAGGGCTGTGTCATTGGTGTTGATGAGTATAGAAACCTTTGCTGTTGTTCAGTTGCCAAGTTGTGTCCAGTTCTTTGCAACCTCATGGACTGCAGCACACCAGGCTTTCCTGTCCTTCACTATCTTCAGGAGTTTGCTCAGACTCACATCCATTGAGTCAGTGATGCCACCCAACCATCTCAACCTCTGTCATCTGCTTCTCCTCTTGCCTTCAGTCTTTCCCAGCATCAGAGTCTTTTTTTCAATGAGTTGGCTCTATGCATCAGGTGGCCAAAGTGTTGGAGCTTCAGCTTCTACATCAGTCCTTCCAATGAATGTTCAGGGTTGATCTCCTTTAGGATTGACTGGTTTGATCTCCTTGCTGTCCAAGGGACTCTCAGGAGTTGTCTCCAGCACCACAGAAACCTTGTATTAGATGATGAAGAGGGAGTCATTCTAAAACAAAGTGAAAAAAACAACAACTGGGATGGATGATGCTTAAAGGAGGTAATCTTGTTCTGCTCCAAAGTGTCTCTAATTGCCATACAAACCAGCAATCCCACTCCTGGGCATACACACTGAGGAAACCAGAATTGAAAGAGACACGTGTACCCCAATGTTCATTGCAGTNGACCCTGAGGGATGGGATGGGGAGGGAGGTGGGAGGGAGGGTCAGGATGGGGAACACATGTACACTCATGGCTGATTCATGTGAATGTATGGCAAAACCACCACAATATTTGTAAAGTAATTAGCCTCCAATTAAAATAAAAAAATAAAAATAAAAAACAGACAAACAAAAAAACCAAAATGTCTCTAACTAGAATATTAGAACACTACTCAGCCATAAAAAGAATAAAATAATGCCAAGGGTAGACCTAGAGATGATTATACTAAGTGAATTAAGTCAGAAAGAGAAAGACAAAAAACACATGATATCACTTATACGTGGAATCTAAAATATAACATAAATGAACTTTTCAGAAACAGAGTCACAGATGCAGAGAACAGACTTGAGGCTGCCAAGAGGGACGAGGAATGGAGGAAGGTTGGGTTGAGAGTCAGCAGATGTAAACTGTTATGTAAAGAATGGATAAACAACAAGGTCCTACTGCACGGCACAGCAAACTATATTCAATGTCGTGTGATAAGCCATAATGGAAAAGAATATGAAAAAGAATATATATAAGCATAACTGAATTACCTTGCTATATGACAACAATTAACACAACATTATAAGTCGACTACACTTCAATAAAGTTAAAACAAAACATAACATAGCAGCTTCAACTAGACCTTTTCCGGCAGCGGCTTGTAACTTGATTTAGTCTAATTTAAGATGCTGACAAACTTCAAGGCTGGTGCTTGAAAGAAGCTTTTCAAGGAGATGAGGTGTATTTGAAGATGTGATGACTGATATATATAGAATAGATGATTTGCTTTNAAGAT